GCAGAAAATCAGGAACCCAGGTAGTTCAAATGAGTATAGGTTTATTGTATACTAATGTTCTCTACAAGAATCTGAACTACTAATGATCAAAACAAATTGATGGTAGGTAAGGGTCAACAGAATTCAAGAAGATATCTTGGGCATGAAGGGACTTAAGATTGACTGCTCAATCAGTTCAGGGATGAGGGGAAGCGGGTACTGATTCCGTACTGTGATTGCATTCAACTTGTGGTAATCACAGCACAGGTGCAGCTCCCCCGATTTCTTCTTGATGAAGCCAATGGGGAGGTAGAAGGCCGGATAAACTCTTTCCGGATATTCTTCCCGCAATGTGGACAGCTCCGGTTCCAACAGGGAGTATATCTGAACCACCGGCAATTTAGCATCGAGCAACAAGTCAATCGGACAGTCGTACGACCGATGCAGGGGCAACTGATCCGTCTCCTTCTCCCCAAACATGTCAGCAAAGTCCACCAATTCTGTAGGTAGATTCAGGTCCACACTCCCTGCACAGGCATGCAGGTAATGAATGGCACACTTCCTGCCAAGAAACTCCACTGCTCCAGATGACCAGACGATCTGCAGATCATGGGCCTGTAACCACTCCAACCCCAGCACCCCTGGAAAGTGAGGTACTGTGGCAACATAGAACACAGCTTCCTCCACATGCTGCCCAATAAGCATGTGTAGGGGTTTGGTTGCAGCAACCACAGGTCCTGAATGAAGGGGCTGACCATCAATCATCTCTACCAATACCAGTAGTGACACCTGCTGCTGGGGAAAAATGAAAAAAAAAATGAAAAAAAAAATGCTGCTGTGCAACAAAATGAGCATCCATGAAATTGGCTACAGCCCCTGAGCCCACCAAGGCCTGGATCTCCACTGCTCCCTGACCAGGCACGAACACACTCACTGTCAACACGAGATGCTTCACCAAGGACAACTGGAGATAGTGGAGATGGTGGTCCTGATGCCACTGGAGCCCGACCTATAGAACCCTGTAGGCTGGGCACCGCCTGTTTCCCACCGCTGCTGATGTCGCTGCTTTAGGTGCCTTAGCAGGAAACTTGGCCGGAAAATGGCCTCAGCTGCCGCAAATGGCCTGCTGTCATGACAATGCCTATCCTTTTCATCTTGGGTCAGATGAGGTCGGGTAGCCCCCATCCAGAGGCACTTCTGACAGGTGTGCTGTCTTGATGGGAGCAGATGCGGCCTCCGTCTGTCATCACACCTGTCGTTGCTGAAGCCTGGCGTCAATATGAAGGCATAGATGCATGAACTCCTGCAGGTGCAAGGGCATTCAGTGTGCGCCAACTTGTCCAGGGGCTCCAACAACCGGCCTTCCTGCAACTGGTCAATCAGTGCTGCCTCATTCCATTGCAGATCCTGGGAGACCACCTGGAAGTCAGCAATATAGTCTGTGAGCAAGCCTCGCCTCTGCCTCAATTCTCTCAATCACCTGTTTGCCATTTGGGCCTGAACAGGGTCCTCAAACTGATGGCAAAACTCAGCATAATTATCCAACAACTGGTTGGGCTGGGTCAACAGGAGTATCACCCAACATGGTGCAGACCCTGACAACAGGCTAATCAAAAATCCCACCTTATCCTGGTCAGTGGGGAAGTCCCCTCTGGCTGAAGACTCAAATAAAGCTGGCACTGCTCCCAAAATGCTGGAAATTGGGCCAGCGAGCCATCAAATTTATCTGGCACTGCTACCAGGCATTTGCAGTGTGGCCGGACAGTTTGCATCTGTGCAACCTGTGCAGTCAAAAGAGCCACTTACTGGGCTTGCTAGCTGGTCATTGTCTGCTCTGAGCTGATCTATGATCACCCCATGTAAAACAGAAGCAAGTTAGAGGGGTGGTTGGGAGCAAAATGTGATGATCCAGGGCATGGCACAAAGGCAACACAGTCAAATAAGCAAGAAGAGTCCCTTTATTATCTCCAACTTTGCCCCCAATGTCCAGGTTACCTTCGACTGGAGAAAAACTCCAGTCTTTAAGTGGAGGAAATTAAGTCCAAAAACAAAGTACATACAAACTGTAACTAAAAATCCAAACAAACCACGCTGTAGTAATTAACTTGATAGGGCAGGAGAAGGAATTGCAGACTTGAAAGCACAGCAAAACACAGAGTTGGGAAGACGCCAGGAACACAGATAAGCCTCGACAATACCAGATAATTCATTATTTGCTCCCAACAACTTGCTGTGCACAGCTTCTCTTTTTAAACACTGTGTTCCCAGCTGCAGCTAATGAAGGGAATCTTCTGGGTCTTCCTCTGAATTCCCTCTCCCTTGCTCTACCTCTCCCCTGGTCTGCCCAGCCGAACTTTGCCCTTCCCCAGTTTCTTCCACAGCCAACAGAGCCACACTCCAACTCCCTGTCAGCTGCTCGGCCTCCCACTCCGAATCAGATTCTGATAGGAGCACGACAAAGGGCCTTCCCTACCTCTGAGGCACCTGTGCCCGATTTAATTAACCCACCCAGGAGAACAGGTTGGGGGTTGTTAAGGCAGTCATGTGGATGCCTCTCTTAATGACCATCACAATTTGTGACCATAATTGGTAGGCTCCATTACAGTTGTAACTCCAGGACTACCTGCAGAATACTTCAGAGCTTTTTACTCATATATATATTCTCAATCATCTCTTATTTGAATCCAGTTTGCTCCACAGGAGATCACAAGAGCTAAAAATTAGCATAACTTATCAGTATGATGACTACAGGGTAGCAGAGAAATTAGTATCAACTTCACAGTTCAATCTTTGCTATTAGACTGAATTCACATACAGTAGTATAATTTAAAAAATCATTTTCTCAAAAGTAGATTTCATGGAAACCAATCAGGTGCATATAGATGTACAAAGATAGTATATTAAATAATTAGAGCCAAAGATGAAAGATATAAAGATATGAAAACAACAAAAATTTATTCAAGTACATTACCCATAAAATTAATCACAAATTTAATCAGTAACTTATGTATCAATAAACACAAATCCATGTTGCTCGTGTTTTATATTGTATTTATAATGCCTTGGTCTTAATAATTGACACAGATTGTTGAGGAAGTTGAATAAAAATTAATAATTTGCTTTAAAAACCATTTTAAGGAAATGTTTCAACATGAAAAAACCTTGATGCAAATAGAAAAAATATTGCACCTCATATGCCATACTATTTGAAAAGGACAACATCAGAAGTCTCTAGCAGCCACTTGTGAATCATTTTATTCCCAATAGCACAGACCCATATCAGATGTGATTTGTGATGCAATATAGCTCCTAAATAAGCCTGGATATCAGAACATATTTATGCTGCAATTCTTAGCGACTTGCCAAGCAATAAGTTCTCTGTTCAGACATTTTTTGCAGGGTTCCCTCAGTAGAGTGAAGTTCTTTTTTGGAAGGAGAAAAAAAATTTCTTTCTGGGTTGACCACTATTGCAGACCCTGCTTTATGTAAGGCCCAGACTGTCTCACCTTCAAGCGATAAGAATGAACTTCTGAAAACTGGGTATTTCAAAAGGAATTCTTTATTGAAAAGGAAGTTATCCAGGTAATAGTCAAAGCAGGGTCTAATATGCCTCCAGGCATGCAGCATAGAACCTCTCCCCTTAGTCTGATGTGGATTTCATCAATACACAGAAGCAACATGTTAAACCCGCCCCCCCTTTTTTTCAGGAACATAGTTGAGAAAAGTTTCCCAGGAAGTTTCTTTCGGAGCTGGAATTTTTATGGCCCTTCTCCTCTTGCTATCTCTCCAAGAGGTTACAAATTTCCAGGCATCTGGGCTCCAGTCCTCAGTTGTATATCATGTGCAAATTATACAGATTCAATAAAGACTTAAGATATTCAGGTTACATCAAAAAGGATTACTTGTAAACCCCCCCCCACCCCATTCTTCCATTGAAGAATGGCAGATATACGGATCTGACACCCAGGCTAGGAAAGACAAAGGTCCTGGGACAGGATTAACCCATTAAGGCAGGAAGACAGGATCCAGGGCAATCACTTTAACTATGGGCACACAAATAAACCCATCAAGCTGCAGGAGTTTCAGAGGGGAATTAAGCATAAAAGGCTCAGATTCACACACCCCAAGCTGGCTTGCAACCCAGGAAATGCTTGAACTGTGTCACACCTGCTTTTTGTTTTCCTTCATTAAATAATCCCACTTTCTGGCAGTTGCTCTGGAATTCATTCCTTTTCAGCATCCATGGTTTTTCCCAGCTGGGAACGAATTCAGAAAATTTATTCCAACAAACCCACCCATATTCCACTGTAAGAAAAAGAATCATTTATGTGATATCACAATTATTTTTTCCTTTTGTTTAGGGAAGGAAAAATCTATACTGCAGCTCTCTATAAGTCATAATTGAAGCAAAAGAGAAATTCTAAGGCCAATAATTGTTTCTATTATGTATTTACAATAACTGCAATGTATTTACAATAACTGCAAGAAATGGATTACAAGAAATTTTTGCAATGATCATTAATAGTAGAGTCTGAGAAAAAGAACAAACGAGCCTTTTAATAAGATCCATGTGGGTGGTATTCATCACACTTGGAAGCAGAAAAAGGTCACTATCTCATAGGAAGCACACAGTTGAAATATCCATCATAGCATGCAGATCATATGCTATAAACAATACCATTGTACAGTGGAAACTTGGATTGTGACCATAATCCGTTACCAGACTCCAGTTGTGACCCAATTTGGTGTCCGCAAGCATGACCAACTGTACATGTGTGCAGTCAAAAAAAATGTCGCCAAAGGGGAAATTGGCGTAGAAAGGGAATCTTTCTGCTCTGATTTTGTTCGCCACCTGATTTTTGAATCGTAACCCAATTCAAAAATCAGGTGGATTTTTTGTTCGCCACCCAATTTGGTCATGAACAGGAGCGTTTGTGATCCGAGGTTCCATTGTGTTTTTATTGTGCCTCTATAACTAAAGTTGGATTCTAAATGAATCGTTTTTTCAATTGTATTCTTACCTTCCTGGCAACCCTTCGGGCTTCCCAGTAAGGCTTTGAATCTTCTACAGATTTTCCAATCTTCTTCACAAGTTCATCCAGTTTTATTGTAGCTTCCACCAGAATTGACCGGAATTTCTGACGTGCGTCCTACAAAGAAAAACACAGCAAATCTGCTAATACATATTCTTCACTGATCACTAGCAACTGTCAATTTAGGTAAAATTAGGATTAGGTAGTTACCCAGCAGAACAATATTTGTATATTTCAAACTTAATAAAAATCAATGAAAACCTGAGATAGTGCTAAACTTAATAAATTACACTTCCCAATTTTTCTAAATTTCTAACACTTTCTGATACAACCTGATATAAAAAGAGATAGATTTTTTTTAAAGATGTGACTCTTTGTTTGCATAATCAAGTAATCATCTAGCTTTAATCTAAATAAAAAGCAATATTGCACAACATCTGCTCTGTCCCTGGGCCTCAACTCTTAATGCAGCATTGAGACCCACTCAATACTTATGTATACAACTTTATATATTTTCAGGGGGGAAATCCTTTGGCTCTTCAGAAACATTAATCTCTTAACAGGTTACTTTTTCCAAATGACTAATGAAAAACCCTAGTTTTCCAAATGACTAATGAAAAACCCTAGTTAATTTCATACCAATATCCAATCAATTAATAGCTTCATTGAATCAAATTAGTGTATTTTCAATCTCTTTTTTTCAAACATCCATTGTTTTGTGCATTACTTCTTTTTCTTCAACTAAAGTAGGTCACATGATTAAATTATTCTTCAATTTATTCTTCAAGCCAACATGACCTAATTAATTGCTTTGTTTTGCTATACAATACAATGCTATTCTTAGATCTAAAACCTGGAGATGGAAATCTCAAGATGGATATTATTTACACCTCAAACAGGCTACAAGATTTCTGAGCAGACTAACTTATCCACTGACATTTGGAAAAGCACCCAGGTAGTTAATCTTTACTTTAGTGCATATATTACTGGCAATACTACATAAAAAGCATGCACTCTCCTAAAGGGAAGGACAGAACAAAGTAATAGATAAGCAAAGAGCACCCATCCTTAAAAGATAATATATTCCTCAACTTACAACCACTACTGGGACCAAAATTTTCATTGCTAAGCAAGGTAGTGCTTCATCTGCGGAGGCTTTCAAGAAGAGACTGGACAACCACTTGTCAGAAATTATATAGGGTCACCTGCAGGGGGTTGGACAAAATGACCTACAAAGTCTTTTCCACTTCTGTTGTTCTATAAGGTTCTGTAAAACTGTAATTGTTAAATGAGACATGCCCAATTTTATGCCTTTTTTTCCTACAACTGTTAAGCAAATCATGTGATCATTAAGCAAATCCACCTTCTTCCCCTTGACTCTGCTTGTCAGAAACTGACTGGGAAAATTGCAAATGGATAAAATGCATATGACCCCAGGATGCTGCAATCTCATAAATACAAACCAGTTTCCAAGTAACCAAATTTTGTTCAGATGTCTATAGGGATGTTACAAAAACAGGTTGTAAATCATTTTTGAAATGTCATTGTCACTAAACTAATAGTTGTAAATTGACTATCTGCATAAGCTCAATTGTACCCAATTAAGGATGATCTGCATAAGCTTAATTGTACCCAAAGCTGATCAAATGATTTTGACATCTGAGGGGAATAAATATCTGACCTTAGAAACAGAAACAACATAGGAAATTGAAAAATGGCTACTCTTTCACTTTCCTACAACAATCATCCCATTCTAGGATTGAAAGAAATGTAATGCCACCAATGTTATAAATTGCCAACAGATAGTAGTACTGACACAGTAGAAGCTCTGTCGTGTTCTTTAGCACTTATTTTTTTTCATTTCAGTTAGCAGAAAGCTGCATTATATCCTGTAGATTGTGAAATAACCAAGAAAAAAATGTTTAATTGTGCACTATGACTTCATTCTCAACTGCTGAAGGAGTTCCTTTATATAGAATTCACTGTCAACTGCAGGTGGTTTTCACTGATTACCATGTTGACATAAGTTCTGTACCAAAATATATAAAGACATTGAAGCAGGAAGAGTTTATCAGGAAGAGTGTGATCAAGAACAAAGCGGGTAAGCTGTGATAACAATCAAAATGTTTCAACTAAGAAAGACTAATGAACTAACTAATGACATCAGTAAATTGTTCAAAGGGTGCTACCAAGCTTGGCATTTTTCATAGGAATGTGTAGGTATACTATTGATCATCAGTATCAGAAAAAATGGGATCTTCACATGTAAAGATATGTTGGGTGTTGAAATTTGCAACCAATTGTGTCAGGATTCTGACCAATGCCCTAATTAAATCATGAGCCTCAGGCCAAGCTTCAAAAGAAATCCAGTTATTTATTAAGAGCTGTCAGCCTTCAAGATTCCTTTCCTTTCTTTTGCTTCTTTTGGCTGCCATAGTAATGGGGGGGAGTGAAATAATTGGGCTTTGGGGGTGTGGGAAGTGGACTAGAGCAGTGGTTCCGAAACTTTTTCAGTCCACCATCCCCTTGGTGCTACAAATTCATGCTCAGTGCCCCCCACCCAGGGGTGGGATTCAAATTTCTGTGGCCTAATTTGAGGGTGTGGCTTGCTGGTCACGTGACTGGGTGGATGAGGCTTGCTGTTCACGTGACTGGCTGGGTGTGGCTTGGTGGTCACATGACCAGGTAGGTGTGGTTTGGTGGGCATGTTACTGGATGGGTGTGGTTTGGTGACTGGCAAACCAAATACAAGTGGCCCTCACTTAATGGCTGGTTGTTTAGCAAGTGTTCTAATTTATGACTGGCCTCCCCAGAGCTACTTGACCTGTTTTTGGAGTTTTGACAGCCATGCACACACATACTCCCTTCCAACCCTGCTAGAGCAGGTCATTGGACTAGAATCGGCAAAGCATCTCTGATTAGATTCTAGTAGTGAATAGCTGATTCTTGTTGATGTGTTTTATTTGTATTTCTTTATTTTATGTTGCTGAATTGCATTGACATGTGTGTCCCTTCTTGTGTACAACCCAGAAGATTTTGTTATTCTTTGCAGCAAAAAATTACCAACCTCTGGCTTTGCTCTACTTTCAAACATGCCGGCACTGCCGCGTTCTAGGTGCCAGCCTCACAGGTCCACCCCATTGAGCCCACTGAACCAGAGGGACCTGCCCAAACAAGTCCAATCGGAGCAGTGAACCAAGTCAATGGGGTGAGCCTGAGAGAGGGAAAGAGAGAGAGAGAAAAGAAAGAGAGAGAGAAAGAGAGAAGGAAGAAAAAAAGAGAAAACGGAAAGAAAGAAAAAGTGACAAAGAAAGCGGGGATGGAAGGAAGGGACAGAAAGAAAAAGAAAAAAGGAGGGAAGGAGGGAGGGAGGAGAAAGATAATGAGATATCTATTCTAGTCCAATCACCTGCTCCAGTAGGGTTAGAAGGGAGTGTGTGTGTGTGTGTGTGTGTGTGTGTGTGTGTGTTCTTGTAATTTACCAGTACATTTTGGTTTTGCCTTCTTCAGAATTGGCACTATAATTCATTGGGGAAAAATAATTTTTAGGGTGGAGGTCTGGTCCAATGGATCATGTTTAAAGCCTCAACAAAATTTGAGAGCTTCCTGATAGTCTTGGCCATGTTTCGTCCACAAAACCTTTAATAGAAGCCAAAGATGTTTCAATGTGGAAAAGGGCCTCAGTCTAAACTAGGCCTCATTTCAATCTGATGCATCAGGTCTCTCTCTATCTCTCTATCACTCTCCCCCCATCCCTCCCTCCCAGACTGGCTTTGCTCTACTTTCCTGATGTGCCTGTGGAGCTGGCGCCTTGAACATGGATGGATGGATGGATAGATAGAGACAAAGACAGAGAGACAGAGAGACAGGTAGGTAGGTAGGTAGATATATCAATGGGTTGGTAGGTAGATATATTTGTAGGTAGGTAGATATATTGATAGGTAGGTAGGTAGACAGACAGAAAGACAGACAGACAGACAGACCTTTTGGATGGATGGATGAATAGATAGATTGGTAGATAGTTAGGAAGGCTTTGACCACATGCCCAATATCCAGGATCCCGCTCAACCAAGCTTGCCCCTCTTTGTAGTTGCCATGCCTGACAGCAAGTTCACAGGCTGCCCCTCCTGCCAGGGATCAGCCTCCCAAGTGCCCCCCCTCCCGGGGCACTCATGTTGTAGAGGGAGGTGCTGTTCCCTGCTTCCTGGAGCCAGTACAGGGCAGGGTTGAGGAAGCCCAGGGCAGGCAGTGGTGCAGTGTTGGAAAAGTAGAGCAAAGCCATGCCACTGCCACTGTGTTCGAGGTGCCGCCCCCGCAGGCACGTTGGGAAACATCGACTCTGAAGCCGGTGCCTCTTCCTTCTCTCTGCAAGGCCAGCCAGCGCCTTGAACACCCCCTGCCGCCTCTTAGTGCCCCTCTGATGGCCTCCTTGGGGATGCTAAGAGGTGGCAGGGGGGTGGCACTTTGAATGCGGCCGCGGCGGCACATAATGTGCCACTGCTTCCGCATTGGAGGTGCTGGCTCTGGAGCATTACAACAGTCAGTGGGTGAACCTGCAGGGCCAGCGCCTCAAACGTCCCCCTGCCGCCTCTTACTGTCCCCAAGAGGGCCAGCAGAGGGGCGCTAAGAGGCAGCAGAGGGGTGGCACGTCAAACGCAGCCGTGGTGGCACATAATGTGCCACCGTTTCCGCATTGGAGGTGCTGGCTCTGGAGCAGTGCTAGTCAATGGGTGAACCTGCAGGGCCAGTGCCTCGAACCCTTGCCTCTTAGTGCACCCCCTGCCAGCCCCCTTGCCTCTTAGTGCCCTCTAAGGGGGCAGTACCGCCCACTTTGGGAACCACTAGACTAGAGGTTTAGAGAATGAAATGTATAAACTGGGGGAAAAGTTTCTTGTTTATGCTTACTTGCTGTGCTATGCGCAGGCACAACTCTTTATCAAACTAGGCCAAGGTCATTTTTTCCAACCATATGCGAATTCTAGTCCAATATTTTCTAGCATCCTCACAAGTCCACCACATATGGTAATATGAGCCAGGTATCTGTTGACATTTCCAGCACTTTTCAGATTTATTCTTGAACATTCTTGCTATTCTTGTCGGGGGGAAATGCCACCTGT